CTTTATTAAGATAATATCTGTAGATATTGGCACAGATCTTAGAAATCTTTGTCATTATTAAAAGTATAGTCTAATTTCTCTCTCATTATCTTTAATTATTTCAGTCTCTCCCAACTCTATATCATTAAGATAAATTCAAGTGATAATCCACTTACTAATTCACTGTAACAATATTTTTAACCCTATATCTTTAATAAAGTTATATATAATGATATATCTAAAGATACTAGTATTAATTATTAGATCAATAATATTCTTTCTAACTTTAGCTTTACATTAAGTAAATATAATTTTGAGTTTTTATTCAAGCAATACTTTTCTTTTTCTTTTAGATTTGAGTATTATAACTTGATATATTTCTTTTGATAATTGAGTTCTTTATAAAGATTTGAATAAGTTAAATAACAATTATATTTGCTTTTTATTGAGCTAAATCTTCTAGAATATCATAAGATTTAGTCATGTTAGTAAGTATAAATAAGATAATTTTGCTTTTCTTTTTTGTAAATAATTTTTTTATTAATTTCTTTCTTAATTATTTTGGATAATCTAGTATTATTCATATTTTAATCAAGAATAATTTCTGAAATATCTTCTTATTTTTCTTTTTCATGATTATTTAGTTTCTTATTTTTCTTAATAGCTTCTTTATGAGATCAATCTACAGATCTAGTTTTATAAGATATAGTTCTAAAATTTCTGATTTTCTTATTAATAACCAAATATTCATATATATCAAGTAGTAAATTTATATTATCTGATTTGATAGTTAATATCTAAATATTATTAATAAGAGCTTATATTTAAGCCAGTAATATGTTTTAATTATTATTTATATTTTGATTATTACTAGTATTTACTTAATTTGATAATATATTATTTTATTGCTAATTATTTTTATTTATTTTCTGATAATTATTTTCAAAGTTATTCTGATTATTTCTATATAATTATAGTTAAGAATAGTTAGAATAGATATAATCTGACTTATTATAATTATAATATATAAAAATCAGTTTAGTATTTTAATTATTAGACTGATAATTAAAATTATTTTTATTATAATTTGATTTTTTATTAGTTTTAATACTTTTTATTTGCTAGTTAAGATCTTGAAGTACTATTAAAATAATATTTAGTATTGAATTATTCTGGATCTGAAATTGATAATATTCATAAGTTAAAATAATTATATCAGCTTTTTTTATATTCTTTGCTACTTGAATTATATTTAGAAAAATTTTATTAGCTGAAATCTATATTTATTTTATAATTTCTGGTTTGAGTTTTTTTTCTATAAGTTCAGATTTTATATTTTTTCAGATATTTATTATTAAAGTCTACTTTATAAAGTAGATTGATGAATTTATTTGTATATTCTTTTATAATGCTAATCTATTATAAAGTTTCAATTTCATCTTGCTATTGATTTATTCTTTCTCTAGTCTAAAAATATATAGCAAATTAATGACTAAAATTATATAACTAGTTATTATTATTATCTCAAACAGTTAATTAAATAATATTATTTCTTTTTCTTTTATTATATTACAAGATAACAGTACTTCTAGATATTCTTTAACTAATTGTATTTTTCTTATATTTATAATTTTATCAACTTGGATAATAATATTAAATTCTTTTAATTATTCAGTTGAATCTTGATTATTTTCTTAGTATTTTCTGATAAAAATAATAATTTTCTTTATAAATCAGATATTTTAATTAACTATTCAATTAGTAAGTATTTCAAGAGTTTGAATTAGATTATCTAGATTATTATTATTATTATTTAAAGCTATTTGATTATCTTTTTCTTTAATTAATTAATTATTATCTTCTGAATTAATTTGAATATTTTCTTCTAATTTTGATATTAATATAAATTATATTGGAGAAATAGGAATATCTTCTGAATTTTTAGTTTTAGAATAATATCTATTAATATTACTAATATTAAAAGAGATTCTTAGTTGTATGATAAAGTCTTGATAGATAAACTATTAATAGAATTATTTAATTAAGTCAAGTTATTCTTTTTGAATATTAATATAATTAAATATAAAGCTATTTTCTAGTTGCATTATTCTTTATTTTAGTTAGATAGTATATATCTTACTAAGATCTAGTTGAATTAATTCATAAAATAATAAATTTATAATTTAATTAATTAATACTGCTTTAATATTTTTTGTAAGCAAGTAAAATATTTAAAATTATAAAGTAATTGAGATTAAAGAAAATAATAATGAAAATAAAAGTCTTGAATAGGTATTCTAATAGTGAAATTGGCATCTTGATATATTTATAAGTGATAATTAATGAGTAATTTAATAAAAGAATAATAATTAGTCATGAAAACTCAAGATATAATTATTTATCAATTATAAATAAAAGAAAGAATATCAAAAGAAATATAAAAAAATATAATAAGATATTTGAAAGAAGTCTTTCTCTATAGAGAGTGTATTAAAAATATATTATAACAAATTGGTAAGTAAATTTTCACTTAAATTTATCTTAATAATATTAAATTAGAAAAGACTGAATTAATTAAGAAGCAAAGAGAGAAGAATTAAACTATATTTTTAATAATAATAAAGATTTCTAAGATCTGTATCAATATTTACAGAGATTATCTTTAAAAAAGATAAATAAATAATAAAAAAAAAAGAAGTAAATCAAAAAAATTATAAAAATCAGTTAGTAAAGTCATTAATAATTAATATAATTCAAGACTTAAAGTAATTAAATAGTAAAATTATTATTAATCAAAGAAGATTATAACTAAATAAAAGATAAAAACTAAAATAAAATACAAAATAACTAATCAAAAAGGATATAGCTTATTTATAATAGAGATCTTTTACTCTCAAAATAATAAAACAAAATAAAATAAAAAGTATAACTTATTTATAATAAAGATCTTTTACTCTCAAAATAATATCAAAAATCAAAAATTAATATAATATTATAATTCAAATTATTATATGATCAAAGAAATAAAATTAAGTAAGTGAGAGAATACTAGTATAATTAGAAAAGAAATTTTAAAAGATTACTATTATTATAATAATAAGCTTTTTTAATTATATTTTTCAAATAATTCAATGCAAAACTATTTTATTTTAGCTGGAATAGCAAATTCTTTTATATATTTTCAAATATATAAATTATTATAGTATTACTAGTTAATACTATTTAAATATATATATTATTATTATAAAGAACTATAAATTAAAGTACTAATAATTTAAATATTAATATTTAAAAAGATAGATATTTGTAAATATTTAAGAATATTGAAAGATATTTAAGAATGTTGAAAGATATTTGAAATATTAAAGTCTATAAATATGTATAAATATTTATAGATATTTGAAATATTAATGTTGATAGATATGTATAATTATTTTATTATTTCATTAAAAATTTAAAAAGAATATTTAAATATATTATTATAGTAAATACATAAATTATATATAACAGATAAATTGAAAAAATATAGATCTTAAATAAAGAAGATAATATATATAATATTTAAAAATAGAAATATAACTATAAAGAGTAAATATAATAAGAAAAATAAATGTATAATTATAGGAAAATAAGAGTAATTATAGGATAAAGTATAAAATTATAAAAATATAAAATTTCACATAATCAAAAAAAATTACAGAATTAAAAAATTTTATATTACTATGATAACATTACTATTTCTTGATTTATTAGTTATATATTACAAGATTATTAATTTTAATAATAAAAAGCAGCTAAATTTGGAAAAGACTGTCTTTAACTTTTATCAAAAATGAATTTTTATAATTAATATTAATAATAAAATTATTGAAAATTCAAAAATTTCCATATTCAATTCAAAAACTAATCTTAGATAAGATCATTACTATGAATTTTAAAATTATAAATGAAAAATTATTATTAATCTGATATTACCAAATTATTATTATATATTCTTTCATCATTATCTTCTTTTTTATTGATATATTCTTTATAAATATCTATTTAGTTATAATAAATTACTAATAACTAATATTTGAAAGAAATTTTAATAATTATTTGTGGAGACTGACTTTGAAATATATTAATATTAGAAGATGATTAAAATATTCAAGCTTGTTCAGACTCAAGAGAAAAGAGAAACAGAGATATATAAGTTGTAGATGGGTGAACTTATGAAAAAAATATGAGATAAATACTGAACAATGGAGAATAAAGATGATGCAGATACTACTAGAGTATTTGTCACCTGTTTAATAAATTATTAGATTCAGTTTTTAAATAGCAATATAAATAATTTTATATTTAATTAAGAAATAATTCAATAAAGCAGTTAATTAGATGGTTAAGTAATCTGTTTTTCTTTTTCTTCCCATTAATATATATTTCTAATACTTTTAATGATTAAATATTCTTTAAATAATGATGATCAGGCTCTTAATTATCTTTCTACCTTTCCATTAATACATTCTAACAATTAATGAGCTTTCAATTAATATAAGCGTTTGATGTTCTTCAAACCGAAAAAAACTTCGAGAAGCAAAATATGCTCGCTGCTAAAAAGTCATAAAAAATTCGTATTGCAACAATAACGATAGTTTTTTTGTGTAATAATGAAGTTACTTTCATAATGTGTGACTACGAATTATTTTCAATTGTTTAATCTTACTATAGCTTTTTCCTGTCTATTAAATGCGTGTAATCATTTCGTGAACAAGTGATTTTTCTGAAATAGAGATGGGCTTATAGAAAGTTATTTTTTAAGTTTTTTAATAAATGGTTCCAAATATAGGTGGCACTTATAACGAGGTTTTTATATGCTTTTAAAGGAGAGGAATGACGCTTATTTTTTAATATATTTTTATAATTTTAGCAAAAAGAAATTTTGGTTAAATATGTGTATATTATGTACATATAGTACAAAAATTTTAAAACCACGAATAAAATTCTAATTTTGTAAGCATGTATCCTTGTTTGTGAGCAGTTTGCCAGAATTCAATTGCGTTATTGATACGCTTTTTAACACACTCAATTTTTTCAACTTGACACTCTGCAGCTTCTTCGATTACACGTTTTTTGAGATCTTCCAGTTTTTCAATGATCTCGGTTTTTCCAACTTCATTTATAAATTGATTATATTTATTAGTTGGCGTGAATTTTTTTTCATACCAAACACGAAATTCCTCGAACTTTGTATATGTGAATTGATTAAATTCCTCGTTTTCTGGATGCAAAATCAATGAAGTGAGTTATCGGGCAATATTATTGTTAAGGATTGGAATTACTTACATACGATTAGTTTTAAACGTAATAAATAATATTAAATAGAAAAATAGAAAGTTATTAAAATATCACCTTCTCGACTATTTGAAGAAAATACACATCCCATATTTTCTATGCAGATATTCGTTTGTGTTGAAATACCGGTTTCAGATTTTTTACGTATTGTCGTTACCGAAATCAGAACAAAAAGAAATCGAAAGATTATTCATTCTCATCGTCATTTTGCATTTCACTATATATAAGGACGTATAGGCTATTTATTTACAGATCAATAATGACGGTATTACCTCAATACCAATAATGACTCGTATATCGATATCAAAAATAGAGATAGACATTTCCATTTTTTTGTTGATAATGATAATGAGAATCTGTTACGCACAATGTTAATGTAGCATGCATACATTATATCGATATTTTATTCAAAAAAGTATTTACTCAAAAATGCATTATCAAATTAACATTTGGATGATAAATGATTCTGCATTGAATTCTATTTGATATGGCATTTCGTATATTCTATTCTTTTAATTTAATAAAATAATTTCTTTTTCATTATTCTTTTAATTTAATAAAATAATTTCTTTTACATTATTCTTTTAATTTAATAAAATAATTTCTTTTATACTTGTTCGTATATATTGTACGTTAAAAAATTAATAAATGTAAAAAAAAATATATATATATATATGTACATGTACAGTCTGGCCTCCATATAATCACACAGGGTTACATGTACATAGTATGATTGTACGCATAGAGATTTTTTAATATAACTTTCAAGTGATATTGATATTGCTTTTATTATACATGTACATGTAAAGGGTTTTACTGTATGATGTGAGTATACGTGAGATGACAATATGGAGGTCGTACTGTTTAAGTTTCTTGATAACATAAATCTTCGTCCCGAACCAAAAATCCCATACATGTACATGTATTACATGTGCATGATCATTTATGATTAATTACAACATCGAGTTATGAATTTTTCCGAAGAATTTTGCCTGTGGGAATTATAATCCAAATAATTTGGCACCGAATTAAGTGACTTCTTTTTTCTGGTCATGTACAAAAATTATGAAATCTGGCTGAAGCTGAAATTAGCGCATCCCATTGGCTGATCAGTTTCTATTCTCTAATATCATTGGTCGGTTGAAGCATCAGCCTTTCAGTATCTATACGAAGTAGTGCAAAAACTATGTCACTGTTGTTAAAATGGGAATGGCTGAGCTGCACAATTTTAATTGTCTTTGTGACCACTCAGCTATACAAAAATGACGGTACATGTACAATCCCAAATTTTAAATACAATTATTATAGGATACATGTAGAAAACGTTTCATATTGAATATATCGTACTGTATTGTGAATATCTCTCGATCATGTCGATATAATACACCAGTAAAATTACACAACATTTCCTATTTAAGATTTGCCATGTACATGTAGATTTCACGCTATTATTTTTCTGTCTAATAATATGCAATGTCTTTCATTCTATAATAATACAACGACTGTACGAATTATTCCAGAACATGTACAGTACATGTACCTGTATTAGCAAATCTCCGAAGAATGCAGAAACAACGAGTGCTATGTGATAAAAGAAAGTGTCAGTATAAAAATATCTGTAAATCAAATTTAAATTAATTGTTTCACATATAAATATATGTTGGTTTGTGTATCCTTGGGTCTTATTTGTTCCAACGTCTTTGTGTACGAGTTTTTGGTTAAATACGAGTGGTGGATTGGTTTTTGGGCAAATTATGTTTTTTTATCCTTCCCAGTTTTTGTAATATATTTTATAATTTAATTTAATTTAATTTATTCTTCTATACAAATTTACGATGGGTTGCAGGTCATCTCGTCACATAGAAGGTAAAATTAAAAGATCAATACATATCATGCTTTATGCTTTACGAAAGCAACTACAAATTCTAACATCGTTAATCTTATTTTGTATGAAGAAAATGGCAATTCTATGTTAGAGATAAAATATAGAGAACGCGAAACATCAATAAAACCTAAATCACGAAACGAGTATAAGGTTCTCGACATACATGGTAAAACCATTTTTATTTACCGTATTATTCAATTATTTAATTTAAGTTTACGAAAATAATTTATTAAATAATTAATGATAGATCAATCACAAAATGTACAAATTCAAGCACCATCAGGTAGAATTTCTTAAATCATTCAAAAATAATTCATCGTCTTTCTTGTAAATTAAAAAAAATCAACGTCATATCCTTTTCAATAAAAGCGACACCAAAATACATTAGTCAACACATGTCAGAAAAACCATCACATATAAGAAAACCATCTACATCAACAACACGCATCACGCCCAACTTTCCAACATACATTGATGCAAAATGTGAAGAATTCCGAATTTGGTTTACCACCGCAACAAAATACTGTTACTGGAAACAATTAGGAAAGCGTGCTTCGTTGCAACAACAAATTTTCGCACAAATAGTCTTGAAAAAAATCAATGAACTCGAGATCTGTTTACGCGAGAAACAATTATCGGAAGGTCTCCGGGACGATGATCCGATTGTGGTGGATCGCCTAAAGAATTTAAAGAGAAGTCAAGTATTTTGGCAGGTTTTTTTAGGAAAAGGTGTTTTTATCGATTTACATAATGAACCAATTTTTGAAAAATGGTTTTATCTGGATTGGGAACAACAGTTTGGGTGTAAAAAGAAGGATTCTAGTTGTGTTGGTAAAAATGTAAGGGCAAAGGCAAAATGATTTTGGCTTTTTATTGAATAAAAAGCATTTTTATTTTTTCTTCTTATATGGGGGTTAACGAAAATATATAATTTTCAAATGTAAAAGAAAATACAATAAGGTTATAACATATTGATGATTCGTAGGAATAGTTTTTTTGTAATCTTAGTAAAACGTTCTAAATTATAAATAAGAGAAATATGCATTTTATAGGAAAATGATAAAAAATATGCCATAGAACATGTATATGGGTTTAGGATATCGATCTGGCATACATACTTTGATCCGATCACGATACTTTTGCTTGTTCTGACAATTTTTTATTCAGTCAATAATCGAAATCAAACATCTTCTATAATTACTGTTACTTTTTCTTTAAATTTAAGTTTGTTAAGGATAACCAGCATTTCAGCTTTGTTTTCTTCGGTAAGCAACTACCAGTCAAGCACAAGCACAACTAAGAGAATTAGAAGAAATAATGAAAAGGCCTGGGGGTCTTGAACGGCTGATTTGATTCCCATAATATTTTAAAATTCTTGATAAAATTGTTTAGTATTCTTATTACATATTAATGTTACTTTGCATAGCTTAATGCTAGCCAATCAAATGATTTGTTTTATATTGAACGTCGTCATCATAAAAAAATAAGTTTCATTAAATATTTGTCCTGTTTACGAGGCAAATACCCGGTATGTTATATTCTATCGTGAGTTGTATTCAGGTGGGATAGGTACTCATTCCATTCGTTCTAATATGGACACGAAGAGCTTTCATTTCTTACGATTTTACAACCAAATGGCGGCGTAACTTCAAATTACATACAACTTAACAGACTCATTATTACCCACATACTCACAATATTATTTTTAATAATTATTGTCATTATAATTCCTCAATCGATTCGTTCTAACCTTTGGCTTCTTTGTACTGATAATGAATTTTGCGGTGATGGTTGATTTAATGTTAACCTTAGCGTTAGCAAGACGATCACGGTGGTGTCAAAGTAGTTTATTATAAGACTAATATGAATTAATACAAAAGTTTACAAGTAGCAGAAGAGAATACGTACAGTTTTGAACGTCATCAAGTAGTATAGCACGAACAACCTATACTTTTCGCATACAGTATGCGCAACAAAGATTCAAAATTTTGATTTTTTATTCAAAAGAAACATAAATTCCACAGAATATCATGAAATTCTCGAGTCCTAACTTTTACCTAACGCTTATCTTGCTAGTTCTGGGTGGCGTTTTCAACAAGATAATGCTCCAACTCACAAATCAAAGACCACACGCGCTTTTTTGAATCGAATTATGTTCGTATATTGATTGGCCAGCAAATTGCGATCAATCGAGAATTTATGAACCATTTTAAAGAAAAAGGTAGAGAAAAAAGGCAAGCACTCAGGTTAGTAAACGAAAGGAACTTGGTTAAAATGAATTTCCAAGCAGGAATGGGATAATAACAACAAAAAAGTGCCCTTTAATTTAGCCGCGTGTACGCCAATGCGTCTTAATAGGTCATAAAAAGGAGGGTTGCAAGATAGACTTCTAAATTTTTAAATATAAAGTATTTATGTTATTTACTATATACAGTTTAAATTTGTGCGGTATATAATAAAATTAAGTGATTCCGAATCTTTATTGCGCATACTGTAAATCTGCAAGCAATCGAGAACGAGAAATCATGTGGACAAGCAAATGAGAGCAAGCGAAGTTGGGCAAGTGGACGAACGAGTGAACAAGAGTAAGAACAATGGTGGACAAGCGAAACGGGAATGAGCAAGCAAAATGGGAAAGAGCAAGTGAAACGGAATAAGCAAGCGAAAATACGCGAAAGTAACGAAAGCTGGCAAAAGAAGGTGAACAAGAGCGAGTGGAAAAACGAGAAAGCAAAACAAGTGTAAAAAGTTAAAGTAACACTAAGACGAAACCTTTTATAAAAAATTTACATGTAAAACGTGCCGACTATATCCATTTCTAATCACGTTATTTTTTTAAAAAAATTACTCTGTATATTACCCCCTGTAAAAAAATTTAAAAAATTCAAACCTTAATTTAACCTCAAGGCTTAATAACTAAGATTTTTAAGAAATCACACAGTGAATTTGAATTGATTTATTTATTTAAAAATCACATGGTTCGAGGATATTGAGCGTGACATTATTTATATGTGATCAAAAAACGAACGAAAAGATATTAAAAATATAATAAACATCGATATTGTGTTCCGCTTGAAACTGTGCTTACTTAAACACCGGTGTGCAAGTGTGTACATTACATTATAACATTATTAAATAAAACCACTTAAACGTGCATGTGTACATGTATAAGGTGAACTCAAAGATGGAATCAAATATTCATCAATGTAATGAATGTACTCATTGTCAAAAGAATAGATACTGCAATGTGTTTAGCTCTCACAAAGCTCATGATTGTAGTAAATGTTCCTCTTGTCAACACAATAATGACCGTGAAGACTGTTTCAAATATCACAAATTATAACAATGAATTGTCTAGAGGAGATAAGATATCGACAATCCAATAAAAGGATGCAACAAATTTAATAGAAAATATAACTTTATTCGAATGGATTCCTTTGGAAATGTTTACCAACATTGAATATCTTGCAATAATGCCAATCTGGTTGGATGGACAATTTAATAATATGTATCCCAATTGGGATCATGAAGTAAATAAATTTAAACAAAGAGCAATTGCACAATCCAAAGCAAGAGTTTATACACGAGGTAAAAAATGAAATTTGCTTTTATTGTTTTCTGATACAATCAATTTTTCAAAATAGGTTCGAACTGCTTTTAAATGCAATGAGAATTATAACATTAATTATGGAATAACTAAATATTCAAAAAAAATGGCGATCTTTGCAACTATATTAATTCCAAACATAAAGAATTGACTTGGGGCCAAAAATTAAGATATTTAAATAGAATAATCTAATCAAAGAGCTCAGAATCATTCACGCACAGAAGTTTGTACATCGTGACTTTCACTCAGGAAATATATTTATTTCTTAGTTTGCCTCATATTGCTGATATTGGACTAGCATTCCAACAAAAATCTAACCAAGAAATTTGTGTAGTACTTCCTTATATGAGTCCAGAGGTACTAAATGGAAAAAGCCATACACTACTGCTGCGGTTGTTTATTGTTTATAGCTTTAGAATGTTTATGTACGAAAATTGAAACAGTTGAACGACCATTTGGTGAACAAAGCCATGATCATTATCTTTGTATAAAGGGGTACGACCTATGTTACCAAATACAATTCCCGGATGGTGCAAATTTATTATTGAAAAATGTTGGGATCCTATTTCAAAAAACAGGCCAACTGTTGAGGAACTTGAAGACTTTATCAGTTTTATCAAATCTCCATTGAAAATAAAACTGCAATTTGATATTTTGCATTTTCAGTACTACAATTCTTTAGAATATCCTAAGACAAATGAAGAAATTAAAGAGGGTGTTAAATTAGAAAATCAAAGATGGAAATACTTGAAATCACAAAAATGGATTTCTAAGAATATAAACAAAAAAACTACTTCACTCACATGCAGTTTACACCAGTCGAATCTTTACACTTCAAAATTAACATCAATTCCAACTGATACAGGTACATACATGTGAATTTATCTTTATAATGACATTTCAAATTAACTTTAACATACCGAATATTTAGGTTCTACAAATGTTAATTTGTATATTCCAAATGAAGGAATAAATTCAAATTTAAACTCAAAAAATCATATAACGTAGTTTTTTCTTTAACAGCGCTTCAAAATATCATATAATCCATTCGACAAATATTAAATATTGTAAAGATAGACAGGATAATATGCGTAGTCAAACTTTCTTTTAAACTCAAAAAGAAGTAGAAGTTAACGAAAAACCATTAGGTATGCTCATAAAAAACAGAGAACTAAGAATTTACAACCTACTTGATTAGAACCAGGATCCAAGATGAGGATCGATGATTAATTTTTGCTCGAGACGAAGAGAACTAAACAGAGCCAAAAATTTTGCACATTACCAGTTGGGCGAATCTTGATTTGGTCAAAAGTAGAAGTGCCTGCTAATAGGCTTTCTTGGATTTTGCAAAATTCTTTCCACTTCATCAATTCCATCGTATTCGGCAAATAAATCCCTTGCGAGTAAAATATGGAATCACATTATGAAACGAAAGATAACGAAATAGTTTATGAGCTTTACCTCTCAGAGATTGCCGTATGTCCGAAATAAACTGCCTTGAAAATAAGCTACCTTTCATGTTTGGTGTAAAATATATATTTAACCTAATAAGCTACCCTAGATTTTTCAAAGTTTAAAATAATGATAGTTTATTTTACGGTATGAAATAGAATTTGTAATAATTAAGAGCACTAATACTCGCGCTATAAACACGCTGTAACATAAGTCAATATTCATGGCTAACTCGTAAGCATGACAATTGGATGTAGAAGCTATAAAGAAGTTCTAGCTCGAATTTTCAATTAATTTGTTCCTGTAGTTGTTTAACATTATTTTGTTCCTTAAAAGCCTGTGTAATTCTCTTTCTAGTTTTTTTATTTTCCACCTTTCTAACTTATGAATATTTATGTTTGCGTAAATTTTCAAGAGGACAGGTTAGCGTATATAAAGAGAAAGAAGTAAAAATACAACAAGATACCCATTAGAAGCCCGAAGAAAAGGCAATTTACATTAAAAGATGAGGGAAGCTTTCCAAAAAAAATCTCGAATAACAGCTACTCGTGGTCGCATTTTGAGTCGAGCAAAAGAGCCGAATTAGTCGTTTGAACTTCTTAATTCCTAGTCAGCTGAAAAATTGTAAAAAAGAAACTATTAGTTGAGCAGCTGTAATTGCAACTGTTCTTTGTACACTCCCCGGTCAAAAGTATCCGATCACTTTAAACCAGATAAAAATACACAAACTTCAATAAACAAACATTATAAAAAATTTATATCATTTTATTCAGAAAACATGAATTTATTAATATCTAGTTG